GAAGGGTCGACGGTGGGCGACGGCGTCGAATTGGCGACCTCGAGGTCTATGACTTTGTTCTGCAGCCATTCTTTGAAGCGGCCGACGCACTCGTGCAAGTCGCCTCGCGTCTCGAACTGCGGGTACGTGATGGTGAGGACGGTGACTTTGGGCAGCGCATGCTGGAGGAGCGCCTTCACGTGGCTCGGGAAGGTTCTGAATGTTTCATCTCCGCCCTATAGCACGTGTTAGTATCGTTCTCGCATTTGTTCGCATCGCATCGGGCGTCGCATTGCACATGGCTGGGCCTGAGACATGGGGATGCGACCCCGGCGATGACGTGATGGGCGTATCGCGTAAAGGCTACGTACCTTGAAGCCGTGGATGAAGCACAGCAATAACGTCTTCCTCATGGTCCTCGACTATGCTCCTGTGCGCCTGCATGGTGGTGGGGCTGGGTTAGTGGAGGGCTGACGATAAGTCGACTGGGCGGGAAGGCGATTACGTCTGGGGTGCAGCTACTTCTCGCTTACCTGGCAGGGGGCTGTTGGCCGGAAGGGTCGATTGCCGTGGAGCAGCACGACGGCATGAGAGTAATTTGAAAAGATTGGATAAATGCGCAGGCAGAAGGAGAATCACATGCAGGTAATTGAGAGAGTGAGGTATTCATGTGCTTTGATTCATCGTTTCACGCAAGCTCTTGCTACTGTGAGCGCACTTACTTGTGTCCACATATGCTACATGACTACTCCGTGACACATGAGCTCTCTGACACTCCCGGCTGTCGTGACTCTTCTCTGCCAATCCATCAATGCGGGTATAGTACAAACAATGCAAACTCCAACGCCATATCGTGAGCCTCTTCGGCAATGCATAAATATAAGAAAGGTGTAGATATAGTGCTACCAATTGCTCGTAAACAGCACAATGGCTACTGCAGATAGACTTGCTGTCGACAGATCCGAAGCCTTGAGCTGCCATGATGCGCCTACCGCAACGACATCGAACGGTGAGCCACCGCCCGAGTCAGTGTTTGACAGCTGGGCATTCGGTGCTTGTGTTGGATCCGCCGCCTGCGCAGTGTCTGTGGGTGGTGCGACAGAAGTCGTGAATGTTCCAGTGGCATTCGGATCCAGCGTCAAGCCCCCTGTTGACGAGCTCGTAGTTGTCGGTTGCGCTGAGCTGGTCGGCTCGTCATCCCCATCGTCCGAATCTGCTGTTGAACTTGGCGGAGTTGACGTCGCTTCGATTGCTGAGTTTGTGAAGCTTGTAGACGTTAGGACCGCTTGGGTGCTTGTTGCTTGCTCTGATGTCTTCGTGCTCGTCCTTTGGACAGTCTCGCTTGAGGTCGTTACGATAGTCACTCCTGGACATAGACTCTGGATACCCAGTCCGTTCTGGAAGACGCCGATGATGCTCAACTCGCCCGCATCGACGTCCGCGCACTTGTCTTTTACCTCCTCCGCGAGCGCCGAAAGACCCCGCACGCAGGATGCGCTACATGTTGCGCCAGACTTGAAGTCATCGGCTGAGCAGCCTGAGATGGCGGAGTTGTAGACGGTGTTGCAAGAAGATGGGAGGTTTTGGATCCGCGGAATAAAGGCCGAGAGCGAAACTGTTGTCGCTGAGGATATCGACGCAAGCGTGAGCGCCACCAAGGCTGAACGTATTGAGGCGGGTAACATCGTGAGTGTTGTGAAGGTTTTCGTGAATTGGGGTCGGCGAACCCGTAGGTCTCGAATGGAGAAAGGGCCGTGACCCAGAGTTCCGAGTGCCAATCTCGAACTTCGATCACGAAGCCTGGATGTCCTGGTGGAAAGATGTCTTCCGGAGGTGGTGAGACGACTTGCGTTTGAACAGGCGGTATGACGTTTTCAAGACAGCGGGTTTGTTTGCGTCGTGTGAAATTTCGAGTGCTGCCACCTGCCGACTGCACTGGGGCTTTTTGCTGCGATGTTCCGGTGACTGCGCGTTGCCGTGGACAACCGAATTTCAGAACTCTTGCCGTCGACCTTCTGGAGAGATGGTGATGCGCCCCACTTCTCACGTATGGGGATGTCGACAGAACTGTTTCGACACAATGGTGTAACGGCAGTGCGCGGATATACCAAAGATCGCCTTGTCTATAAAGAGCTATCCAGAAAAGCTGCAATAAAGAACGTGAATGACGCAACACGCAAACGAGGGAACGACTGTTGTTTCTTCCTGGCACCGGGCCTGCAAAAGAGCGAATGCACTTCCGAAACGAACTGTTGGGGAACAAAGACGCACAGCGTTAAGAAAGAAAACAGTTCGCAGAAGAAAGGAAAGGGAGAAGGGAGGAGAGCCGCGATCTTCGTGATATTCAGTCGCTCAACAACCAAACTCAGGCAGCGTTGGGACCAGGCGGCGGGACCCGCCACATCTTAAGGTAGATCTACAAGGACACCCGTCCTATCCGCACACAGAAGACCCTTACCTTGCCTTTGCCTCATCATAGCTCAAGTGGGTAGCCACGAGACGGGCAGTCCTTGTACAGCTATCTGAGTGTCGCAAGTGGCCGTTATTCAGTTTTCTGAAACAACGGGGTAGGCCGTGGTTAGTGTCGCTGCGGCGTTGCAGCCGCCCATTGGCCGGGCGAGCCAGCGCAGGCGTTACATGTCGCGACCGCGCTTCAGATGCAGGTACCCGGAGCTGGACAGGAGATGTGTGAGAGGTGTGTGTCGCGCGTGTACTTAATTGAGCTGCCTCGGCGGCTGCGTATGGACTGGCGGGCGAGGCGCGAACCACAATCGCCCGAGATGAGACGGTTACGGCGCCTGCGTGGCTGTGGCGCGTGGATGCGTTCACACGTGGAGCCCAAGAGCCTAGAAGAGAGAAGCTATAGAAATGCGGACTTGGCTTTCTTGGAGTGTACGTATGACGGGTTTGACGTGTGTGTGATGGTTATAGATGCGAGCTGCGTCTACCCTGATGGCCGCTGTTCGCGCTTTAACTTCCTCGCCGCCGCTTCCTTGCACGCAAACCTCCATCATCCCAGCACGACCACAAGCTCATATGCGGGGCTTCATATAGCAAGACATTTCGCATGATAGCAATTGTTTCATTGTTTCAATCATCTCCTCAGCTATAGTTCCTGACGGTTTTCTATAGTGTCCATATCCGCGCTGACCGCGTCCAGCATCCTTGCCATGCGCGGAGCTCCTTGGTCTGCCTACTCCATAACGATAACGCTCCTGAACCTCACCTTTCCGCTTTCCATGTGCTTGACAGCATCTTCTACCTTGTCGAATGGGAACTTCTCAACCATGCACTTCACGCCCTGTTTCTCCGCAAAGTCAATCGCTTCCTCGCTGTCCAGCGCGTGTCCGGATGGCCATCCATGGACCGATTTGCCCTTCATGATCAGACTCACGGTGTTGACTGGAATATCGCCAACAGGCGCAAGGACGAGGAGTTTGCCCAGGGGTCCAAGTCCATCAACCAGCGGCCCTATGATCTGCGGGTTCGGTGCCGTGACAACGATGAGGCTTGCGCCACCCATCTTTTGTAGTGCCTCGGCGGCATTTTCTTTCGATGTGTCGATGTAGTCGTTTGCGCCGAGCTGGTGAGCAAAGTCCTTTTTGTTGTCCGAAGATGATACTGCGACCGTGCGGTAGCCCATCTTGCGAGCGTACTGGAGTGCGAGATGGCCTAGACCACCGAGTCCTTGCACGGCAACAGTGTCGCCCTGCTGGATGTTCATCTTGCGGATGCCATTGAACACGGTAACCCCGGCGCAGAGTAGAGGAGCGTATTCGGCGGGGTTGGCATTTGCGGGAATACGCACTGCAGCCTCGCTGCGGAGAGTACAGTACTCAGCATCTGACATCACTCATGTCAGTCCACCATCCTGTATGTCTCGATCTTCGCCAATAGAAAGGTAAAACTTACATCCACCATCCCGACTAACACCATTAACAAGCTCATTTTCGCACATCTGGAACATTCCCTTATTACAGGACTTGCAGCTGCCATCATGGGCACCATGCCATCCTCCGCCAACACGGTCTCCAACCTTCCACTTCTTTTCGCCGTCGCCGACTGCGATTACCTTTCCAATGACTTCATGTCCTGGAACACGAGGGTAGACCTCACCCAGATGGCCCTGTTGCATAAAGCTGTCTGAGTGACAGATGCCGCACGCAAGGACCTTGATCAGGACCTCGCCAGACTTTGGCGCAGAGACGGGGACATCTTTGATCGTCCAAGGCGCGCCCTTCTTCTCAATCACGACGGCGCGGCAAGAGGAGGGGATGTCGGAGGAAGACATGATGGTATTTGGCGTACTAAAAAGCCGAGAATTGGCAGATTAAGACAAGAGATGTAAGCTGTCTTGAACCTTGATGTGGATTTGTCCAAAGGTGAAGTAGTAAAGTTGTCGATCAGCTGTGATGTCAACGAGCAGAGGTACGCGCGACCTAGCCCTCTTTTATCTCTACCTCCGTCATGCATGTATGCATACATCATCGTTATCACCTATCACCGTTCCTTTCTTCCCCGCATCAACCGAACGACTAAACATTTAGATGCCTCCCTGGTCGACCAAACATAACTTCCGCAACGTTCCGTACTACCACCTGTGCGATCCGGATTAGAAATGTATTCTCAATAAGACAACAACACATGTCGCGGTTGTCCGTACCTTCCCAACTACACCATCACCCCACCTATCTCCGCGCACGGCACGGATTAGTCTGGACATACTTGCTCCTCGCACACCGATTGGAGATGATGATACGCCCAATGGGCTTTACGCTAACGCCGATGGAGCCGAAATGGTTATTTGGGTGTGTTATATACGGTCATGTATGTAGTCAGCGAGTTGCAGCGGGCGGATTCCGCATGATGGCTAGATTGGCGCGGGGTTTACGGGTGTTAAACGCGTCGTAGAGATGAACAACAGAGGAGACGTGCAACCATCTCTGCAAATTTGCAAGGCAGAATGCATAGGGGTATCATTTTAATGTTATCTAACCTCCAGTCAAGACCCTTGGAACACCTTACCAGGCGTCAAAGTTGCCAAAACCACTAGTCTTAGCTTTCTTCTTAACGGGCGCAACATCCTCCTCATCATCCACGTATCCGACGATCTCATCGTCGCCCTGATTTTGTATCTCCTGTTTCGCAGCTTGGAGATACTTGCCTACGCCGAGACCTTCACCCGTGCCGTTCTCCACAGTGCCATCTGCGCGTATGCGCTTGCCTGTCCATGTTGTCTTGTCATCCGCTGTGCCGCCTTGCCTCTTGATTTCCTCAGCCTCCAGCTCTTTGTTCTCCTTGTCTTTGCGCTCCTTCTGCCATTCTTCGAACGGGTCTACAAAGACTACTACGTCTAGTATCTCAATGTCGTCGACAGGCTTGTCCTTCTCGCCGACTTCTGCGATCTCCATGGACCGCAGTGTGGTATCCAAACCACCGACTACTCGTGCAAAGATGGTGTGTTTGCGGTCGAGATGCGGCACGGCGCGGTACGTGATGAAGAACTGGCTCGTGTTGGTTCCCTTGCCCTTGTTCGCCATACTGAGTACGCCTCTGGTGTTGTGCCTCTCCGGCCCCTCGAACTCGTCTTCGAATGGCTTGCCCCATATGCTTTGCCCGCCTCTTCCAGTGCCCGTCGGATCACCTCCTTGTATCATGAAGCCCTTGATATTCCTATGGAAGATGGTGTGGCTGTAGTATCCCTTCTGTGCTAGCTTGACAAAGTTCCAGACCGCGCGCGGTGCGTATTCGGGGAGGAGTTCGACGTTGAGATCGCCGAGTGAGGTGGAAATGCGTGCATAACCCTTGTTCTTTATGCGCTTCGGCTTGAGCATGTAGTCTTCGTCGGAGAGGAGGGCGCGTTCGCCAGAGGTATGCGGGGTGACGCCGGTCGAGGTGAAGGACGCAGCAGCTTTACCGGAGGTATATACGGCGGCGTTGTATGCTGGTTTCTTGGGCTCGGAGGATGTCGATGCTGCTGTGCCGTTCCTGGGTAGATTCGCCAGCGCCTTCGATGTAATGCCACTTTGTTCCTTGATCTTCCTGTTTTCGCGCGCCTTCGCAACTGCTTCTTTCGCCTTGAGAATCTTCGCAGCGTTGCCCAGCGCGTCTCTGTTCACGCCGGTCTCCGCCTCTGCTACCACTGTGTCTCCGTCCTTCACATGCTTATATGAGCTAAAGTCTCTTGACTCGATGCTCTGAGGGTCCTGAAGCGTGATGATATCTTTTCGTGTAAACGGGTCATCGCTGACCAGATCCTGCCAATTCTTCGCCTTGATGTTCAGTCTCTCAACTGTGTCCCATGCGAAGACGTTGCCGCTCTTTCTCAGCGCAACGATGTGTGTGTTGTCTGTGAAGACCTTGTATGTGACTGGGTCAACGAATTCGCCGTCTTCGTTCTTGGTGAAGTTCAGCGTAATGAGGTCGGCACGCTTCAACGGCGTTCCGTCGACGGGATTCGTGTCGAGGTGTTTCGATAGCCATGTAAGGATGTGGGTGAGATCGAATATGGTGCCCGATAATGTGCACACGGGGTCTGTGAAGGGCTGGAGCGAGACGGCGCAGTAGTTGAAGGGTAGGCGCTTGAAGGTCGAGGATAGGCCGGCAGCGGAGGCTCGATTTGCGCTGTTTGCGCCGCGCGCGTTACCGAATGCATCCGAGGAGGACCACTCGGAGTGGGTGATGTATAGCTTGTCGGTTCCTTTTCCCATATCGAAGGTACGTAGCGGAGGAGGATGTTGTTCGAGAGGCGCGGCGTGAGGCGCAAAATGTCTGTAGGAGTGACGCGCCGGCGACCAGCCACCCTAGCGCGACTCCACATCTGAGTATCCACCCTTATGTGGTGCTCTTACCTCCCGACCACGACTCTCTAAAAGCGGGTCTTCATATCACCTGGACATGTACCAAAGCATGTCAAAACGAGGCCCAAGCATGGAGGAGCGGGCTATGCAGTATATAGAGCCTTCTATTGGCTATCACGAATATGCTCAGCCACACGTGAACAGGCTGCCAGCGCTTCAGCCTTCTCACAACCTCTTCAACATTTCCTACGTGCACCTTTTGCAAAAGCTGTGCTTGTCCTTTATCATCGCGAAATCTGGTCACGAGGTGAACGTACCGTTGAGAGACAGCTAATGTGCACTACCTGCTACACGCGAGAGCAGAAAGGACATTGTATGTATAAGCAGATATCCTGGGGATCTACATTGCTGTTGTGAGTCCTGAGTTCTCATTCTCCATATTGTTGTAGCCTGTAGAGCTCATCAAGATCTACGATCCTTACACTTATGCAGCTTCGTCCTTATATAGAGAAATCCGCGTTGACCTTGGAAAATACCCCGACACGCACCGTCTCTACTCACACGATGTCGGCAATTCATCAGTCTGCCCCGCTGGACCTTGGCTCTTCCGTGAATATCCGCCTGCTCAGACTTGAGCTAGACCTATGGCCAGTCTGGCTCACACCAATAATTTCCGTTCGGCTGCACGTTACGTCTCTAAAAGATGCACCGCACTATACCGCCGTTTCCTACGTGTGGGGGGAGCCTTCACCTACATCAAATATCCTCCTCAATAGAAAGGTCTTCTCTGTACGCCAAAATCTTTGGGATTTACTCAGTCGGCTGCGAGCTGTGCACTTCGATGGCTACCTCTGGATTGACGCTCTTTCTATCGATCAAACCAGCGACAGCGAGAAGAATCATCAAGTTGCAATCATGGGGTCTATATATACTAATGCAGAGACGACAATCGCTTGGTTTGGTACCGCGAATGAGGAAGTTGCAGAGAACATACGCGCTTTGAACAGAAAACTCAAAATGGCGCGTTTCAATTACAGTGGTAGAATGGCGAATCTTGAAGTCACTGGCTTCAAATATATACTAGCCCATCCGTACTGGACCCGTACCTGGATCTTACAAGAATACATACTTTCACCCCAGGTGGAGTTATGGTGCGGGGACGAGATATTGGGTTCCGCAAAACTGGATGTGGTGGCGGACAGCTGGGTCGATACGATGGCGAGCCTATACGAGACAAGTGCGCAGACAAGCGCCCTTACCATAATCATTCATGGAGCTGCATACGGGGTGAAACGCTACACTTTGTGCTGGTTGTTGAACCTGTCGTCAGATAGCGCTTGTCTCGATCCGCGAGATCGAATTTACGCGTTGCTCTCATTGATGTCGCCACGAGAACGGGATCTTTGGGATATCACACCAGACTACGCAGCCTCGACTCAAGACCTATTTGAGCACTTGTGTAGTGTTTTCCGGGACACTGATAAGGATGTTGGAAGATGGGTGTGGACATTTGAGCAATGGAAAGAGCGGCTAAGACGTATATTGCTCCTGGATGCTGTGGAGAAAGACGGTCAAGATAAGGCATGTATCTCCGGCACCGACGAGAGTTGATTTCTACTTCCTATGGCACTTCTTTGGAAACAATCTGATGTGACGGATGTCTACATCAGGATCAAGTTCTCGAATTTATCCAAACGTTTACTCTTCTAGACTCCCGAAATAGAAGCCCTGATACACAAGGTACATGGTGAAGCCTCGTGGCCCATTGCCAGAGGCTACACTGTCCACTGTCCTCTAGCCACGAATATTCTCCCACTCATCAGTCAGTCATTCAGTCACCACAATCACACATGCAAGACCAAGAAGTTTTAAACCAGACTCGCTAACATTCATCTATATACAGACCCAGACGAAACCCCCACGTCAAGAGAAGGCAGTGCTCCCATCCAAAAAAACCGTCAAGGAACAACCCCCTCCCCTGCCGCAGACCATCCGTCTCCCATTCCATCCATCTAATTACAGTTTATATAGCCAAACGACTAAAAAGGAAAACAGCTCAAGTAAATGAGTGTATGGTAGGTCAGTTATGTACAGAACTAAAGGAGTGGCACCCAAGAACCCCATCATGGAAGATGGGATCTTGAAAAAGCCGAGCTCGCTTTATTCATACTCGTATGTACTTTGAATATCTCTTTCTCTCTCTCTTATTGTTCTTGTGCCCAAAGTGGAATTGCCCAGCAAAACCACAAAGTTGTTCTTCGTTCTCTTATTATATTATATCCAACTCTTCATTTGTCGTGCTAATCCGGGGGTTGCTGCTGTCGTCGTTGTATGATTCCGAGGGGCCATTGTAGAGAAAGCTTGATAGAATGGCGAGAAGCTTACTCGGGCTTTCCGAGGATACCGCGGGCCATGTGGCGCTTGCGGAGGTTGTACTCGACCGCGCGCTTCTTAGCAGCAGTGCTCTGGGTGAAGGCAGCGGAGCCACCGAAGGGACCGGCAAGGGCAGCGTTCTGCATGCGGACGATGCAGACGTTGGTGGCGCCACCGGCGGTACCGGAGCAGGTCATGCCAGCGGGCATCTGGACCTTGACGGGGAAGTCCTTGACGGCGGCGGCGGAGAGACCTCCAATACCGATACCGGGGACGTTCTGCATGACGGTTGCGTCCTGGAAGGCGGCGGGGTCGGTGCCAGCGGAGGTGGCGTCGATCTGGGCGGTCAGGGGACCGGCACCGTCCTGGTTGACTTGGTGGAAGGTCATGGTGATGGTGCCGTCGTCGGCAGTGGTGGGCAGACCAGATGTGGCTCCGGTACCTGCGGCTTTGGCGACACCACCCTCAGTTCCTGTGGACTTGGTGCCGGCAGAGGCAGCACCGGCACCACCAGCGCCACCACCGGTAAGAGCATCGAGGAAGCCACGCTTGGCACCAGCTGCGGCACCGGCACCAGCACCAGCGGCACCTCCCATGAACATGGAGATGGCGGCACCAGCGTCAACAGCACCGCCACCCTGGGTGCGTCCAAGAGCAGAGGCCTTGCCACCCATCTCGCGGGTGCGGATGATGGAAGTATCGGCCTCGGAACCGCAGAGAGGAGAGGCGCAGTTGCGAGGAGTACCGTCCTGGACGGACAGACCAGGCATGGTTACACCATTGGCACCCTGAATCTCAGAAACGACACCGTGGGCCTGAACGGAGGCGGCGATAGCAGCAATGGCAGCGAGAGAGTAACGCATCTTGATGGATATGAAGTTGGTTGATAAAAAGGGTTAAAAAGAGTTGAAGATAGTTGAGAGTATTGAGTGAGAAAGATGTAATGAGTAGTGAATTAAGCAAGCGACCGGCGCAAGAAAGTAATTAGAAGGATGGAAGGAAGGGAAGAAAGCGAGTCTGGTTGGTTTGAATGTTGAGTGATGGTGATATCGATCTTGGGAGGACGAGCAGTGAGGTTTATATACAGCTTTCTCGCCGTGGCTTGTCAGCGTTCCAAAGCTTAGCATAGACACAAGCATTCAGCGGTCTGCGTCTCCGATCCACCAAGGCAAGATGGCGCCCGCGACCCCTTGCTGCCATGGCCAAACACGATGATGGCCGTCGAGGGAGGCTGTGATACCGAGAGCACAGACCCTGACCGGAGAGCTGAGACGATGCTGGTCGAACGATGGTCATGGTTACTCCACTTAGGCCAATTCCGCTAGGATATCCACTGCGGGACGATCATCTCCAGAAGCTTGGTTTGGGATCTTCCCAAGGCTGCTTCGGAACAATGATGTCGCGTTGTGGGAGCGCGCATTGATGTTTGGCATCTGAGGAAGCATGTCTGCAGATGTGTATCAGCAGCGAGGTTTCGATTCAGGCTCGGCGATCGAAACAGGATCGAGGGAACATCGTTTCGCTCTTGCATGCTCGCTTTCGCATTCTTGTAATATCATTCGGGATTGCGCAGACATTTTGCAGGTCGTGGATACACAAAAGTAAGCAACGAAATAATATCCCTGGCCGTTATCGGCAACTATCCACCGCTTGTCGTTCGTGAACGGTTAGCCAGCAATCCGGCCGAGGTGAAAAGGCGATGGTTGTTTCAGTAGCGGGTTTTGAAACTCTAAAGTTTGGTATCGTTCGAGGGTTAGCGCGTTGCTTCTTGCCTCAGCTGCAGTCCCGGATATTCCCGAAACCTTCGAGCCGCCTCAAGCACGACCATGACTTGACTTCGACACTTCCAGGTGACTCCACTGTAGCACTGTAATAGAGAAGAAGGTTGAGAATGACAGCTTCGAAAACGCGGAGCGGTGAGATTGTCGAACAACATGCAGGTTCTGGACGCGGATCTTCATGCTATCGGCTTCCAGTGTTTCGCTATGCATGTCGGTCACAGCAAGGCTTGCCACATCTAGACTGTACGGGGCAGTGGTCGCAGTAGCTGCATCGTAAGGCAAACGCTGCAGTCGCAGAAACGGGCCGGCCAACATCGAAACATTGGTATCAACGACACTGGCCATCTACAAAGGGAAGACCTGAATCAGCGTATCAATGCACCCTTCTAATGATCAGTCCTATCGACCTCTAACATCCGCAGCCTCTTTGTACCCGACCTGACTGCCTGGCCTTCTTCGACTTCTTCTTGGTAAGCTTCTAGTTAACCCCAAACTGTCCTTGTGTCCAAGCCTTGAAGTCCCTGACCTCTTTTATCCATATGTATCGAATACATATTTCCTGAAGCTCATAGAAGAGCGCTCCCGCTTCAACGAAGCCTTTGGTGATGGAGCTTTTGATGAACAACAGCAGTATCATGACAGCGCGACGTTGCGCATCCTTCCCGTATTCAACTATCGGGGTGCCGTTGCCAACACCATTGGTGGATCCATTGGTGGTTCCGTTGGCAGTACCGTTGGTAGTACCGTTGGCAGTTC